TTGACATGTTTGAGATAACTTATCCCACTATGTATACCATAGTGATGGGATAAGTTGTCCCATATACAGGGTGGGATAATTAATCCTGAAATAACTAGTTCCCAACCAAACGGCCCCTAATTGTTAAAGTGAATGAATCCTCAACTTCTCCTCTTTAGTAATTAGAAAATGCCTTTGACATAATTAAAGAAAGTAGCAGAAATAAAATTAATAAAAATTGTCTTTTGATAAACGAACTAGCGCATTACTCTCATTCAATTTCTTCTCAATCATATGCAATTATTCATGCAATAACTATCTTTTTTTTCTTAATGACTTGAAATAAGTTCAAGTGACACTTATTTTGGGCAGAGTAAACATATGCCAAATTTTAGTACTACCCCATACACCAATAGCTAATGATAATTTATTACCACTATATCAAAAACCATTTCCTTATGGAGAGAATGAAGTGATTAATGGACAACAAGTTGGACATTGGAAATCAAAATAATGGACATAATTCAGGAAGATCTTTTTTTCAATTACATTACAAAAAAATGAACTCACATACAAAATAAAGATTCAACATATTGGAAAGCACTAAACCTATCAAACTGCAGGGAAATAGGGACCTCATAATCTTCATCTTCATCCTCAAATTGATTTTCTTCAATACTATTATTTCCAAATTCATATAGCTTGTAAAATGTGTTATCCCTCAAGTTATAACGTATGACCATTTTGGGAATGTGCAAAATCATGAAGGCCTCCTCCTCCTCTTTCTCCCCTCTAACAACACAAAGCACACTCATCGCTAAGTAATTCCGGTCTGTTGGATCATGATATTGTCGAATCATATGAGGGAACACGTTAATAACATCTTCAACATTCACTTGGTACTTCATGTACCACTCCGTGCCATCACTATTCATCTCGTAAATGTTGTAGAAAGTGAGCTTTTGACGACTATGCACTTGTACTAGATGCAAATATCCACTAGACTCTCCGTAATAAGCAACTCTGCTCTCTTTAATGTTAGGCATAGGAAACCTATCGAACATTTCTTGTTCCACATTGAAACGTAACGAGTTGTTACCACATTCCCAATAAATTGAACCATTCCAATAAACTCCAGTATACCTAAATCCTATATCGTAACGAGCTAGAAAAGGTGAACCCACGACCCTCCATTTCTTAAATTCAGATGAATAAATCTCGACCTGATAGTGTTGATCATCAGGAAACACTTCATCAGAAAAACGAATGCAAATCACTTTGTAATTTGGCGATTTCCATGGATCAAACGCTAGTTTCATCCCAATTACAGCCTTGGAAGTTTGTCCATGCCCTCCCAGTCTCGGAAGTGTAACAAATTATTGTGTTGTTGGATTGTACACATAGTAATTTTCATTAGGTCCATGAACGCGAAAACTACAACATAGCAAAAGTCCATTACAAGATTGCAGGATTCTAATTCCATAAGAATCGTCTACGAAAATGAGCTTGTGGAATGGTGATTGAATTGAATTTTCGAGGGTGAAGGGAATGAATTCGTGAAGAGCGTTGATCAAGAAAGAAGAACAGTGCAAAAATAGGCCACGAGCAGGGTTGAAACAGGGGACTCTGAGACGGGTGAATTTTGGGCTAGTGATGAGATAATTCCATTTTTTCGCGACGCATTTGCATCGTACGAGTGATTTTACTGGAAGACGGAGGAAGATTTCTATCAGCAGTTCTTCATTAGGAATCACTTCATTTGCAGAAATTGATGATATACAGTTTTTTATTTTGACAATCTTCATTTTGATTTTTTTTTGTGTAGAGTTGGACCATGTGTTACTTACTGTATTATATAGTTTGCCAATTTTTTTAGCTTGTTGTGAACGTTTCTTTCTCAACTCAAGTGGAGTATTAATTAATCTTTCTCCCAATAAATCAAAGCCAAATGAACATATTATTTAATTGATGGTGAGTTGTGACAGAAAACTAATTTACATTCTAATATTTATATTCTTTTCTTTATTTCTCCAAAACTTGGGTTTTAAATTCTTTTTTTTTTACATCTTACTAAGTTATTTGTTCTCTAGTATCAAAAGGTATGAAAGATATTGAATTAACATTAGATATATGTTGTTGTTGTTGTTGTTGTTGTTGTTTGTTGTTGTGTTGTTGTTGTTGTTGTTGTTGTTGTTGTTGTTGTTGTTGTTGTTGTTGTTGTTGTTGTTGTTGTTGTTGTTGTTGTTGTTGTTGTTGTTGTTGTTGTTGTTGTTGTTGTGTATATACTATAGGCATAAATAGACAAGAATGATCCAAAATTAATTAATAAGTCGAATCAAGATAAGAGAAGTATTCAAAATAGGAAAAACTAGGTAAATGGGCCATAAAACTAAAATTAATTACATGTTCATATCAAATCTAAAGTAATTCAAGAAATATTCATTCTCTCATAAATAATTACAGTTCATACCCCCTTCATTAATGTTGGTAATTTTCGTTTAACTGATACTAAATCATTATCATATATTGTATTGATATCATTAAGGCTGAGAATTTTACTTAACTGATACTAAATCAGTATATATATATACCATTATATGGTTGCTATTTTTCAAACAGAGTTGCGGAATTTATGCTGTAAAAAGCACACATTTTTTAAAAATTCTTTGAGCATCTTTATAGGCAAAATACTCATTTATTTTAGGGATAAGGGTCTGAAAAATACCTCAACTTTGGTCGGATTTGCTGTTGCGATACTAAACTTTCATAAGGACATATTACCTCCCTAGACTATTTAATACCATATTTTTTACCCCCTGAACTATTTAATAGTGTATTTTAAAGGTATATATGTGCCCACGTGGACACATTACTATTTATAATTTTACATTATTTTTTATGTCCACATGGGCAAATATATATGTTTAAAATACGGTATTAAATAGTCTAGGGAGGTAATAGGTCCTCATCAAAGTTTAGTATCGCAACAGCAAATCCGACCAAAGTTGAGGTATTTTTCAGACCCTTATCCCTTTATTTTAAGCAATTTCATTTCATGAATAGCTATAATGAGTTTTGTAGATCTTAAGCAAGTACTTAAGTATGTTTTTTTCCATTTCAAGAAGTGCTCTATTAATATGATGAATAGCTATGCGGTGTTTCCATGCTCTCCTTCTAATTAAATGCACATGGCGTTGTATATGCTTCATAGCATGAATATAAATAAGATGCTGCTGTGGTTTTTCATAATTGTAACAATTTTTCAATAATTTTAAATCACACATCTCAAAGAAGATAATGGATTTTCCTGATAAATTAACAACAAAACATGAAATACAATCTTTCAGAACAAGAAAACTTCGACTACCAGAAGATAGCGATAATTTGGTACTACAAACCGATGCATCTGCTTATATTTAATTTAATTCTGAAAAGAATATTCTACAAATTCAGATGAAGATTCAGATGAATCAGAATGAATAAAGAAATACAAAAGGAAGAAGACAATTAATCCAAACCGGAGCTACAGCTAACCATATAAAGGGAATTCTAATAGAAGGATTACAAATTTACGAAGGAAATCCTTATAATTATAAAACCTTTGAGGGTAACAATTTTAGTTGTAAGAATATGATAGACTTACCAATACAACTAGACACAATAAGAATAACAGTCCCATGTTATATTACAAATCACGAAAGTGATCAAAACCTTATCCTAGGAAATCTTTTCCTAATATATATATATTATATTGTATTGGTATCATTAAGGTTTCTTATTCAGAAATTACTCATTAGTCAATGATAATATAAGAGTATATGTATATTGTGGTGTAATTAAGGTTTCTTGTTCAGAAATTACTCATTAGTCAATGATATCATAAGAGTATATATGTATATTGTGGTGTCATTAAGGTTTCTTGTTCAAAAACTATTCATTAGTCAATGATACTATAAGAGCATATGTATATTGTTGTGGTATCATTAAGGTAACTTGTTAAAAAATTACTCATTAGTCAGTGATAATATAAGAGTATATGTACATTGTTGTGGTATCATTAAGGTAACTTGTTAAAAAATTACTCATTAGTCAATGATAATATAAGTGTATATATATTTTTATGGTATCATTAAGGTTTCTTATTCAGAAATTACTCATTAGTCAATGATACTATAAGAGTATATATATACTAATTTAATATCAATTAAGTGAAATTATCAGCATTAATGATACCAATACAAAATATGTTACTTATTTAGTATCAGTTAAGCGAATTTAGTTTTGTGTGTGTGTGTGGGAGGGGGGGGGAGGGTAATAGTGTAATTATTTAGTGGGGTATGAATGTAAAGGGGTATATGTTTGTAATTATTTTGCTTTTATGAGGTATTTGCTTAATTTCCCCAAAACACTCTTAAATTCAACACGAATTATTATTTTCATTCATGAATTATTGACAAATTAAAAACCATTTAACTTGACTAATTGAATTTAAATACACTCCGATCTTACAACATGAGTGAAATACACCCTTAAACTCTCGCCTAGTTTAGGGGTGTTTTTAACAATTCTTTCGGCTTTTTATTAAGAGCTTCATGCTCCTACAAGAGTTTGAGACCACTTCCTATATCATGTAGTAGATCGGGGGTATATCTAAGTTTAGTTGATCAAGTCGAGGGATGCTTTAAATACTGTCAATAATTCGAGAAAGAAACTAATAAATTGTGTCAAATTCAAGGGTGTTTTCAATACTTTTTTCAATCATAATTTATCATATTAGAACTTGATTTATCTAATTAGATCAATTTTAAAAAAAATTAAAAGAAATAATTTTTATCAATTAAGTTAAATTATTTATGACTGCTAATCAATTAATAAAAAATCCATAATAAGTATTTTATTGTTATAATTATCAATATAACATGTTTATAAATTGATTACCAACAACTAAATTGATTATTTTTCGAACCACTGATAGGCCGCCTAAATTTGGTTAAAAGCCTAATTATGTTGCTATGAGTTGAAGAGAGACATTTTAACCCAAAGATTGTTAAATGTTCAAGTCATAGTACAACGATATTTCAAACTCTCAAATAATCGAACGGGTTAGCAATTTTTCTTAAGCAGAGAGTAGTTTTCGCCATTCCTCCAAAGCATCCGCTCCAGAATTTGCAGTCCTGGTCGCCGGTCGCTGGTCGACCTTCCTTATCTAGAGTAAATCTTTCACTTTTGTGAGTTACAGAACCCTAACCTAAGCATTTGATATTCATTAACCTTCTTTTTTGCTTTGTGTTTAACAGTTTTTTCGTTTTGCATATTGATTAGTGGAACTGTTGGGTGTGTTGCTGATAGTTAACAAATATAGGAGTTTTTTTTTTTTAATTTCATTTAGTTTCTGGTATGATTTGGTGGTATAAGTGAGTATTGTTATCACTAAGATTAGTTTTATAGAAATTGTTAAGATTTACTGAATGCTAGAGTATTATTTTTGAGTTGTTAGAGGATACCTTTTAATTTGTTTGAGTTGATGAGCTTTTAGATGCTGCCTTTTTCTAATAGATTTCTAAAATCTCTGTAGATTGCTAAACGATTGTCAGCTCACTCAGATAGGATAAGGTGTGGTTGTTATCGTGTTTGTATTGATTGAAGTGCAAAACTTTGACTTGTTACTTGAAATGGCGGTTGTGATTTCTACTCGAATAGATAAATTTGGCCGAGTTTTGCGAGTTGTTGGACATCGCTTTTGGTCAAGCAGTTTGGTTCATTCTGTTTCAGAAACAAAAGATGAAGTTGAAACAATTGCTAGAATCATCAATGACCACCCTTTTCCTGTTCAGCCTCTGCAACCAACGCTTAAACGGCATGTCTCTTCGAGTATCCTGTCTACCATGTTTGTTGAAAATGTCATTGGTCGCCTATTTGCGGCACATGCAAATGGTCTTAAAGCATATGAATTTTTTGAGTTCTGCCTCCACCATCCTGAGTATAGTCCAACCTCTGATGCATTTGAGAAGACACTTCACGTACTAGCAAGAATGCGATACTTTGATAAGGGTTGGGAACTAATGAAGAAAATTCAACAGCTACAACCGTCGTTGCTCACCCTTAAGTCATTGAGCATCATGCTATCAAGAATAGCAAAATATCAGTCCTATGAAGATACCCTTGAAGCATTTGAGAAGATGGAGCAGCATTTATTCCCCGGGAAGAAATTTGGCACCGAAGAGTTCAATATTCTTCTTCGAGCATTTTGCTCACAGAGGCAGATGAAAGAAGCTCGTTCAGTATTCAACAAACTCCATTCTAGGTTCCCACCTGATACCAAGACAATGAATATCTTGCTTTTGGGGTTCAAGGAATCAGGGGATATTACTGCCGTAGAGTTGTTTTACCATGAGATGGTTAAAAGAGGTTTTAAGCTTAATTCTGTAACATACAGTATAAGAATTGATGCATACTGCAAGAAAGGTCGTTTTGGTGATGCTTTGAAGCTGTTTGAAGAAATGGATAGGGTAAATTGCTTGCCTACAGTAGAAACAATAACAACTTTGATTCATGGAGCAGGGATTGCTCGTAATATAAGTAAAGCTAAGGAACTCTTCAATGAAATCTTCAAGAGAAATTTTCAACCAGACACTGGAGCCTATAATGCACTTTTGAGTTCTCTTATCAAATCCAGGGATGTCAAATCTGCAGCAGTCTTAATGGATGAGATGGAGGAGAAAAATATTGAGTTTGACAATTTAACTTACCACACTATGTTCTGGGGATTGATAAGATCAAATGATGTTGGTGGTGTCATTGATCTTTACGAAAGGATGGTTGACAAAAATTTCTTGCCTAAGGCACGTACTGTTGTGATGCTGATGAAATTCTTTTGTGAAAACCAGAGAGTTGATCTGGGTTTGAGCTTATGGAATTACCTGATGAATAAAGGGCACTGTCCACACTGCCATTCTTTAGAAATTCTGGTCACAGGATTGTGCTCCCGTGGGAAAGTTGAAGAAGCATTTGAGTGCTCTGAGCAAATGTTGAAGAGGGGTAGGCACATGAGCGAGCTAGTGTTTGAGATGTTGAAGAGGTTTCTCTTACAGCTGGGAGAGGAGGAAAAGTTACAGAAGCTCTACCAAATGACGAAGAGATTAGAAATGATATTGCCTCCTAATGGACAAACTATTGGCACAGCCTAGGTACAGAGCTGTAAGTAAGGTGAATAAAGTTACTTGCTTGATTTATTTGATTCTACACATAGCTGAGATATTTCTGTGAGTTAAATATTCATTTTGGTTTTAATGAGTGCTCTGTTTTAGTTGGAGTTTGTGTAACAATGGTATTGGTATGGTCTTTTTATTTGTTTAGGTTCAATTTTTTGTTGCCGTTACGCATAGCTGTTTCTTGACCACTGAAACTGTCTATCGGATTTTTTCTGCAAAGAGAGACTGTGTTTCTATTGTGTTGTTTCAGATTTATTGGATAAATTCTACTGTTGTTATTTTACAGGAATGCAAAAAGATCAGTTTTAAGTACGATGAGCATTTGGCCTCAAGCACGTGATTTATATCTAAATCTTCTATCTCTACTCATGTGGCGTATGCTCCATTTTCTTCTCTCTCTGAAATATTTGAACACTTGTATAAAAATGGAAAGATTCATGCATCATGAATTTGTTTTGGTATTTCAGGCTCTTCGACAATCTTCATTCGTTGAGTTTAGGTTGTGCAAGTTTATTATGCTTATGGTTTTTCTGCTTTTGGTTTTCCTAATTGTCATTGTATTGTTGTTAGTATAAGACCATTATGGGAACGTATTTCCTGCTAAATGCTGAGAATTATCAGTGGCAGTAGACTTCATTTTTCACAGTAGCCTCTACAGTTGTGTATGTCTAGATGAGTACATGTAGACGTTATACGTTATATTACTATTTGTTAAGGCTAAGATGTCAAGGTTCTCCAGGCCAATTTCTACTTAAGTGTTACCTGAATCCTGATATTTAATTTTATCTCAATTTGGATTTCCTTGCAGTGAGTTTACAAGTACGGGGTAGACCATTTCTCCTTATAGTAATCTATTGCTTGTGTGAATTCCACTGAAATTTCATGGCATTTTGTCTTGCTCATGTATTACTATCATTTATATGTTCTTTTGGTCATTCAAACTTAGGTGCTGTTGGTGTTTTGGGCTCAAATTTGCTTATGGGGAGGGTTTTCAGAAACATTAAATGCAACTGATCTATTGACAAAGGAGAGTAAAACTCCTCTGCTCTATTTGCTTGATATCTGGCAGTAAGGTTATTTAGTTGCTTGAACAGTTACCAACCTTACACCAACTTTTGCATTGTATTATCGGTTGTCAGGTATATTACTCTTCATAATCAGTTCAATGTAGTCACTACTTTAACAAAATGTCCTCTATTCAGATGTCATATGCAGGTTGTGCTAACATTTATGATTATGAAACTTTCATGCAGCCACAGGGGGCATCTGATCACAATTTTGTGATTTAGTTGGCACTTTCAATGGTAAGTAATCTATTATTCATAGATTCATTAGAAACGACTTGTCTGTTTATTTTCTCAGTGGCTGATTGTTTATTATAATTTTGATAGGTTGCTTCAGAGAGCACTTAAATCTACAATGCACAGTAATGGAATGGTTAATTTAGTTAACAAGGTCGGTTTTCTTTTGGATATAATATGTATAGTCTTATTTCTCCTCAACAATAGCTAATAAAGGCTAATTGAGTTTATTTCTTGCCAGTTCTTTGAGATGCAACAGATTGATGCTCTTAGGTCTCTTGGATATATACACAGGGCTGGTCAGCAGGTACCATCCTGAGAGATTATTTTCTTTGATAGGAGTTTTTCCTATAAAAGAGGTTATGTGATCACACTTATTGCAGGTTTGTTATTCGGTTTAGTCCTTAAACTCCTTATTTTGTAGATCTGTAGAAGTTACTTTGATAGCTTACCTTCATATGGGACACTTTGCCATTGCAGGTGCTACATGCAATGCATATAATTGTTAGAAAGTATCATTTTGGCAGTGCTGTCTAAAATTATGACTTAGATCCCATCAGGAGTAACTGGGAAGGATCTAAATACTGAAAGGTACTTTCCCAGTTTCTGTTATGCCCTCATGATTTGCGTTGCAATCAGTGTGATGGCACTATCAGCCATCTATTTACTCCCCTCTCTCAGTTTTTTTCCCCAACAGCTGGTTTTTGGAAATTATTGCTCGACTTCTAAACATGGGTAGTTTCATGTCACTTGGATGGAAGATGTTTAATTGCTGGAAATAATTGAAGATTTGACTAAGTGTATCCTGCTGGTCGCTTGGTAGTCTTTACTGATTTTGTGAATACTTTTAAGCACTACCGCTGATCACTTATCTCCATCATCAATTTTGTAAATACAAGTTGTAAAGTGGTTGTCATCTGGGATAGTCCTTGATTTCATGATTTCTTCTGAAGTTCAACATATATATGCAATTATACATGGAGGGAGAATGCAGGACTTTAGCTCCATCAATTATTTAAACTGAACGTGGTGCATATATATTAAATATAAACAAGTTGCGCTACATGTCACATAGAATGGCCTTCTGCGGTGGCCCAATTGGTCACAACTGTGTAATTTAGTCAGACTGAAATATCTTCAAAATGGCTACTTTTCAATTCAAATAAACAAGATCTGCATGCGATTTTTCTAGTCATGGCGTTGCTTGCTATCATTTTTTCCGTCCTCCTTTTAGTTTTCTTTCTTTTTGTTCGAAGTGTCAACCCTTTGTGAAAAGAAAAAGAAAGTAATCTTTTGTCATTCTTTCATTGAAGCTAAAAACATAGAAGGTTTAACTTGTAACGATAGTCCTACTTCATTCGCTTTTATGGGTTCTGAAGGGATTGAATGGGTTAATAAATGAGTTGAGTCCATCTTTAAAAGGTCCATTGCGTTTCCAACATATCCAGTTCAAATAACACATTTCACCTATGAGTAAATATGCCTAATCGGTCTCCAAGTTATCCATTGTCCTTAGCTCTACATCATTTGGTCTCCAGTTTTTGACATTAGTTGTAAGAAGTTTACTGTGTCGAGGCATCACGTCTGTTTTCATTTACATGGACATGTGGCTTGCATTTAATTTGCAGAAGTGCTTTTTGACCATCATTTTCTATGTTTCCCATGTTGTTGAAGGGCTGCTTGGAGTTATGAAGGACGTGGATAGGGGTTCTGGTGTAAGGTTAGATAGGTGGGAAGGAGGAAGAAAGATGTCTAGTGGTTGCATCTTTGGGTATGGAGAAGATAAGACATATGGGGTGGCCCAGTGGTTTGGACTTGGGACTTCCATGTTGGAGGTCTCAAGTTCGAAACCCCTTGCCAGCAAAAGCAAGGGGTTTGCCTTCTGGGTCGAGCTCGTCACACCAGGCTTGCCTAGTGCGGGTTACCTCTCCTATGTGATTTGCGAGCTATTGCATAGGAGCGGAGTTTTTACCCTGTGCGCACCCAAAGGGTAGCGACTGCGGGTTTCCCTTGTCAT